ATCCTGATGGGACTCATTGCATAGAAGAAGAGTCACACATGGCACCACCCTTTTCCGGTTGTCATATAAACCATGCAATAACGGATCACAGTTGGGAGTTTTGATGCATTCTCCACTATACGAAAGCTCGTCTTCTAAGAAAGCCGCCGAAGACGCATCAAAGGCTCTTCAGAAGGTGGTAGAGGACACTAACATCAGTATCGTCTCGATCAAGGGATGCGCATTGACGGTACAAGTCCTTGCCAACGATGGCATGAGCTTGCTTGTTGCCAAGAAGGCTGTCACCCTAGTCTTATTACTGGAAACCCGGCTCCTCATCAGACTTTGCGAACCAAGTCCTCGACCCCCGGAGAAATGCTATCCAATTGTAAGCAAGTCGGCCATGGCAAATCTTCAGCTGCCAGAAGATCTTTCTGTCCTACAACGTTATAGCGACACAATGTCCATGCATTTACCTTGGAAAGGAGAGAGCCTCCGAAAAGCGTCTTGGAACAACTACCGACCTGAATTCTTTCAGAACATGCTACGTGTGCTCTGGAGCGCTGAGGATACCAGGGATATTTTGAGGCATTTGTGGACAGATTATCAAGGAAAATGTTGGTTCGCGCTTGGCATCGCCTCGCGCAACAAGGACTAACCTGTTGAGGGGAATGTACCGCCGGACTACATTCGGGACAAGCCTTCGACGTTTGAGTTTTTATACCCAGGGTCGACTTTGGGGGAAGATTTCATCAAAAACTGGCTAGAACTATCGGAGAGGATCATTCAGATTGCCTGCCTTCCGCCCCAAGAGTTCAGGGACATTGCAGAGGCCATCTGGAGAACCCTCGAGGAAAAAACTGCTCTTCACCAACCAGCATGGCCAGCCCTGTTGCAGTGCCTTGAGTTGGAGACTCAAATCGACTATTGGGATGGGAAAGTGAGCACTTGGGGGTATTATTAAAACGTTCCTGTTCGGCGCTGGTAGTGTGTCATTGAGGGATGCAAGTCTTCATGTTGATTATTCTCTTCGGCTATTCCACAACCAAATAGCTCGGTCTACATGACTGGAGCCGCACAACTGTGGAAGCAATATATTGGGACAAGGGCTTAGGACTTGGAAATGAGAAGTGGTGTTGGGCGCCAGACGCCTGAGAATGCCTTTGTTTTACCACCACAGAGAAGTCGACAGTTTTCTGAGAAAGGATAGTAATAAGTTCTGGTGTTGGAAAAGTCGGTACTATCAGTTCATTGATTTCATTTCAGATTTCACATGCTCCTTTATATCTGTGTGCCTCGTCAGCAACGGCATCGAAAGTGTCGCTGATTCCGAACCGTGATCATTGTGCGCATTGAATGACCCGCGCGACTGTAGAGCCTTCGTCTGTCCTTGCCGATTCTCCTACGAACAGATACACACTCAGCCATGTCTTGAAATATGACACCGGGATGCATTGATGTTGGCGGCCGTTCATCGGACCGTTCCCTTGAGGCATTTCAACTCCCGACATCCGAGGCTGCGTCGTGCCTTCCTTCCATTTGTATCCGAAATATTGACACAACATTCCGCCCCTCGGATGAGCATCTGCATCCTTCTCCATATTCCAAGAAGCCGACGGACATTCAAGGCCGAAAAGACTACATTCAGGCAGAAAAACCACATGCAAATGAATTATTCCCGCTCCCGGCTAAAGGGAAAATGCAATAATGCCCCGCGACCACGCCGTCGACGACCGACGACCGACCGACGACCGACCATCGACCCGGCCTAGCCATGCCGCGGAACCAACCTGAACGACTTCAGCATACCACGGGCATGGCAGCAGTTCTTGGCCTTCGAACAATTGCCAGTGCCAAAAGGTTGTGCGTCCGCCAGCACCGCCAAATGGGCCCCATGGGGTTGAAAACTTGAAAGCCTGGCCGAGTAGGTTCTGTCGGTCCGACGATGCTTGCCTACTGGTGGGCGGGCCTTGTCCCTGGAAGAATATCGTCAACGGGGCCAGTCTATTGACCGAATTGGGAGACGTAGAGTGCAAAGGGGCGTCGTGGTTGGTTCTCGGCGTGTCGCATCGGCACAGATTCCAGTGCCACCACCCGCATCGCCCACATCACCTCCTCCATGCAACGAGGCTCCTGGAGTGGACTTGGAGCCTCCAAAGGCCCGATAAACTCGGAGCCAAGCAGGGAACTGCCCAAGGCGTCCCGAGTCCTCGCTCAGCTCTCGTCGTCGTCCGTACCCCAGAGGTCCCGTCTGTCCCCAGACTGAGCTGGGGAATAGGACCGATCTCCCCGGTACGACGATACAAGGAACCGCAGAAGCGGGGCGACGGGCATCATCGAGTCAAATGACCATACGGAGTACTACTAGCAAACAATAGACTGGAACAGTTTGGATAACGTCCAACTTGGACTATATAAGGCACCTTGTAGTCACAGCAATCGGACGAAAGCCGCACACCAGACTCAGCTCATGGGACGCGCAGCCTGTTGAAAGCCAGAGCAGAATGTACAAGAACCTCATCAGCGTGCTGGCTGTGGCTGGCCTGTGGCTGGATGGAGCCGTAGCCCACCGAGACGACCTACATGGCTTCATCACCAAACAGAAGAGTATTTCCCTTCATGGAGTTTTGGCCAATATTGGCTCTGATGGGTCAAGGGCCCAGGGTGCCGCGGCTGGCGCTGTCGTAGCCAGCCCAAGCAAGTCGGATCCAGACTGTATGACAACATTCCCCAACTTTGAGACTTCAAGGCTAACTCTGCATTCCAATACATAGACTGGTATACTTGGAGCCGGGACTCTGCCTTGACTTTCAAAGTCTTGATCGAGCTCTTTATCGGTGGAAAGAAGTCTCTGCAGCCCAAGATTGAGCAGTACATCACCGCCCAGGCGCATCTACAAGGCGTGTCCAATCCTTCGGGCGGACCAGACACGGGCGGTTTGGGAGAGCCCAAGTTCCATGTCAATCTCACAGCCTTTACTGGTTCCTGGGGTAGGCCGCAGCGCGATGGTCCCCCTTTGCGAGCAACTGCTCTCACCATCTATGCCAACTGGCTCATTGCCAACGGGGGCCAGGCCGAGGCTGCAAACACCGTCTGGCCCATTATTGCCAAAGACCTGTCATACACGGTTCAGTATTGGAACCGAACCGGCTTTGATCTATGGGAGGAAATCAACGGCTCTTCTTTCTTTACTCTGTCCGCCTCATTTCGCGCTCTGGTCGAAGGCGCTACCCTCGCCAAGGCACTCGGCAAGCAGTGCCCGGATTGCGAAACCAACGCCCCCAGGATACTCTGCTTCCTTCAAAGCTTCTGGGCCAATGGCTATATCGACTCCAACATCAACGTCAACGATGGCCGGACCGGCAAGGACGTCAACTCCATCATCTCATCCATTCACACGTTTGACCCTGCAGCTGCCTGCACGGATGCGACCTTCCAGCCGTGTTCATCCAGGGCCTTGGCAAATCACAAGGCAGTTGTCGATTCCTTTCGTACCATTTATACCGTTAACAAGGGCCGGAGACCTGGCAGGGCAGCTGCCGTAGGCCGCTACTCGGAAGATGTATACTACAACGGTAACCCTTGGTACTTGGCCACAATGGCAGCCGCCGAGCAGATGTACGCTGCCGTCTACCAGTGGCGGGAGATTGGCTCCATTACCGTGGACGCTACATCTCTCCCTTTCTTCAGTGACCTGATACCAAATATCGCTGCCGGCACTTATGCCAAGAACTCTGCTACCTTTACCTCCATCATCAAGGCAGCGACGGCTTATGGAGATGACTTTGTCAGAGTTGTGAAGCAATACACTCCCGCCGATGGCTCCCTGGCCGAGCAGTACGACCGAGAAACAGGAAGCCCCAAGTCTGCTGTTCACTTGACTTGGTCCTACGCATCATTTGTCGGAGCTGTCGAGCGCAGATCTGGCATTGTTCCACCCTCGTGGGGAGAGCCCAACTCCAATACCGTTCCCAAAGTTTGCGAGGCTCCTCCTAGCTGTGACTCCACCATGACCTTCAACGTCAAGGTTACCACGGTCCCCGGAGAGAGCATCTATGTCGTTGGTTCCATTACCGAGTTGAAAAATTGGTCGCCGGCTGATGCAGTCCCCTTGGATGCTTCACAATACACCCCCAGCAACCCACTTTGGAGCGCAAAGGTCACGATTCCTGCCGGTACAAACTTTGAGTACAAGTATATCAAGAAGACGAGCGACGGGACGGTTGTGTGGGAGAGTGATCCCAATCGTAGCGCGACATCCTCTACTGGATGCCAGAGCAACGGGACGCTGAATGATCAGTGGAGATGACGGGTAAAGCATGGGAATCTATAAACAAAGTAGGCCAAACGAAGCAATGTATATACGACTGGGTTCGGAACGCAGGGGCCCATGTTGGCTTGGTTGTGGTTGTGCAACTTCGCAATGGCGGCAGCACCTTGCAATCCGCGGTAGACAGCCCGTCAACCAGCAATACGAAGTGTACCTCGAGTCAGGAGGTGTCGTTTATAATTGCAGATTGACTCTTGACATGTATCCAATCGGCCGAGCCCGCGCAGACGCAATCTACGACTAGCTGTTATTTAAAATGTAAATAGTTCAAGTGAATAAAGTAATATGGAAAAAAGAAAAAAGAAAAAAAAAAAATATGGAAAAAAAAAAAAAAATATGGAAAAAAAAAAAAAAAGAAAAAAAATATAATAAACGACTGGAGCACGTGATATCCAAAACCTAATCGACCACGTCAACTGTCATGATTCCCAACGCCTCCTCCCCATCCCAAGTCTCCCAAGCAAAAGCAAAGCTAGCAAGAACATCCACGACCCCGCGGCGTTTCTTACGCCGATGGCAAGGGCTCACGTTGCAATCGAACCTACGGAGTACACATGTAGTAGTTGACGCGTATCCATTACGAATTACATACGATACACTACCGTACAATTCAGTCTACCGCACAACTACAATGTCCCACGCTATGCAGCGAGAAGCAAAAAGTATACCCTACGTGCAAGAAAAAAAGCAATCATCCAAGTCGCCCAGCGCGCCAAAGCGACTCGAGCTCGCGCACCTCGTCGTCCAGGCCGATGCCCGTCGCGGCCGTCATCTTCCGAAAGCACGCCCTCACGGCGTCCTGCTGCGCGGCGTGCGTCAGGTCCCTTGCGACGAGCAGCAGCGCCGCAACGAGCACCGGATCCCACTGCTCCGCAAAGTCGTTTGTGCACGCGATGCCGGCGAGCGCCTGGACATGCCAGCCCTGCGAGGCCGCCGAGGGCGGGTGGCCGGACGGCTTCAGCAGCCGCGGCTTGCCGGCCAGCAGCAGCAGCGAGCACAGGTGGTAGGCGGCGTTGGCCTGGACGGCGAGCGCGTGCGTGTACAGCTGCATGGGGAGCGAGGCGTCGGCCCGCGCGTCCATCTGGCCGGCTTCGATGCTGCCAATGTCCAGCGTGGGCCGCATGGTGAGCGGCCGTCGCTCTCGCCATGTCTGGCAGCTCTTCCACACGGCGAGCCACTTTGCCCAAGTGCCTGGACACGCCGAGGGGGGTTGCGGGAGCTGGTGCGGCGAGCCTTGGAGGAGCGGCTGGGGGAACGGTAGAGACGCATCGTGGAGGAGGTGGAGGGTGATGGTGAGGTGATGCATCGACCACATGTATGTGGCGCTGGGGCATTCCGGATCCCACGCCGGGGGGAAGCCTTGGGGAGAGTAGAATGACCTCGGTGTACGGGGTCGTTGGCGCAGAATGATGGATGATGCCAGGTCTTTCTCGTACAATGTTAATTGATCCCGGGGACATGGCCATGTGTAGAGTCTGGACACGTACCGAAGCGTGAATGGAGCTTGCAAAGAGACCGCAACGGCTCCTCGATCGAAAGCGCCGTCGAGTCCGGGCTCAGTAGTCCCATTTCATGCGCCGCGTGGCTTCTCCATTGCGACGGCCCCGATCGCAGATATTCCGTGATGCTCGAGAGTGAGTCCGCTATCCTCTTGGCAGGTCCCTCGAGGGCTTGCATCCGCGTCTTCTCCTTTTGCCTGTCCTCCGCGTCTCCCTGTTGACGAATCAGAGCCACCTGGTTCGCGGATAATTCGACAATGACGCTCTGGATCGGCGGGTGTTCCTGCGCAAGATGCATAATGTCCGTTCCAAACGTCGACAAGAAGTCCCCGGCCTCCATCCACGGAACGGTGTTGTACCGAAAATGCCGTAGCAGGGCCAGCTTCTTCCGCCCCGCGGATACATTTTTTGTGTTGAAGTACCCGTCCCAATCTACGAGGGGAAACCCTCTTCTGCGGTCCTCGATGAAAGGGGTGGTGGTTGTGAGAAGAGAGTCGATGGTGATGCTGCTGGGGCGGGAGTCGCGAATGCCTAGTTGTTGAGGATCTGAGTGTCTGCGGATATCTCTGCCGCCGCCGCCGCTGTTGCTACCCGTATCTGACTTTGATACAGGGCATATCGGTTCGTTTACAAACTGGGCATGTTAGACGATGCACCCTGGCTTGCCGTGTGCGATGATGGCACAGTCCGAGACACCATAATACCTTGATGCGAGCATACGAACTATTTCTCAGCCTCCCAGACTCGACATCCCCTGCAGCCGACTTTGGAATAAACTGCAAGTCGGGATACGCGCACGTTACCCCTCTCGCCTCACAACTCGTACACCTTGGTTTCCGCTCATCGCCTACAATACCAGACGTTAGTTTTCCCCTTGCTCTTGTAGATCCGGCGCCGATGCGAAGGCCCCTTGGGCGTCGTGCAGGGTACGGCCCGAAATAGCCGGAGGCACATGGCAAGATTAGGAGGATGGGACGGTAGCTACATTTTCTCCGTCTCTTTCGACATGAGAGACATCCGGTGCGGACACGGCGCTTGTTTTCTGGGATGGAGCGTATCACGGGCATATGGGGCCGTCTGAGAAGCCGCTGGTCATGGTCGGACTGGAAGCGTCTCATGGGTAGAGGGGAAACATAGAGAAAGAGAGAAGGGTGAGTGTTGGTTTTTTTTTGTTTTTCTGGGGTGAGGCGTGGGAGGATGGATCATGGATGCGAGGTTCTGGTGGCTGCCATTATTGGCTCGAGGAGCGGGATACGGTCGCACATTAGCTAAGGTCCGCAGTTGCTACCACAACCCCACATCTAGTATTTTAAGCGATTTTAACGGTTTAAGCGGTTTAAGTAATTTAAGCTATATATATAAAGTTAATCTTTACTTTATTAATTCTTTTATATAAAGAAATTAACTATTAACTTAAAATATTATAAGAAGGTATTAATTATTATCTTAAATTAAATAAAACTATTATTTAATGCCTTTACTTAAAGCTACTTAACTTAAAGCCTCTTTAATTATATAATAAAATAATAAGGGATATAATATAATATATACGTAATTAAGCAAATAATAAATAAAATATATACGTATAAGCTTATAGTATTACGAGATCTTACTTAATTCCGTTCTTATTTAGCTTAATTAGCTTATCTTAAGTCTTTAGCCCCTTAATTAAATTAATTAGCTATTCTTAAAAGCTAGTACCTAATCCCATACGTATATCCGCCGCAGGCAATTCACCCTAGTCTTTATTAAAGTAAGAAGACGCGCGATTAGGCTATTTACAGTTACTACACGCACTATTAAAATAGCCTGGTAGTCGTACGCAAATGGGAAATAGAGAGGCGAATCCATTTATATCCCAGGCTATCTGCTTATAGTAGTAGTTACAAGAATCCCTTTACCTTATTATTAGAGAAGCTTATTTATCGTATAAAGAATACTTTATATTATATAACCTTATATAAAAAGCTTAAATATCTCTTTATAAAATTAAAGAGAGATATTATAGCTAATATACGTAAAAAACCTTAAGAAGAAAGTTAATATTAAAAGGTATAAATATTAATAGTTTATTACTCTTATATAAAAAATTAATTATTAAGATAATTAATAATCTATTAATAAGTAAGTCCTTTATTTAAAAGAGCGTAAACCTTCTCTTATACGTATTTTAGGTCTCTTTATAGTAATAGTATTACTCGTACACAGGTAATCTGCTTAAAATGCCAAAAATCGCTTAAACCGCCTAAACCGCTAAAATCGCTCAAAATGCTAGATGTGGGGTTGTGGCAGCAACTGCGGACCTTAGCTAATGTGCCACCGTAGCGGGAACCAGTGGAAAGAACTGGGGGAAGGGGAATGATCCATGATGGAGCATTTGGGATTAATCCATGCCATGGTCCTGACAAGGCTGGGGAAAAACGTGAGCGACTCCATCGGGTGGCGCCGACTTCCACAGTCATCTGATGTTTTTTTTTTCCTTACTCTCTTATAAGCTTTAAGCTTATGGAGAGGTTACTTATCTTCTATATACTAATACCAGACAATATAAACAAGTAACACACTAGTTTTCCCTAGCACAGTCATCTGATGTATGGTGATGGTGAACATTTTGAATGCCATCTATTTTCATACACTCCCTAGAACAGACCGCTTTGACCATTCTCCTCACTGCGCTTTTCAGAGTAGATATACTACAGCACTTCAGGGTGCTTCTCGGCACCAGCCTTGGACATCATGTCAGCGCGGCCTTCAAGCAACGCCGTGAGTCCGACTTCTCTCTGCGCCTCGCGCAACAACTCTGCATCCCTCTCGCCGGTATGGCTGCCAAACACACGGTCCATCACTTCTAGAGTGGCGTTCTTTGTTTCTGGCAGGCAGAACCACACCCAGAAAATGCCGGCTGTGAGGAACACGGCAAAGAAGATGTAGGTGCCCCACGCCCATGCCTCCAGCATCGGCGGCACGAAGAAGGCAATGGCAAAGTTGTTCAGCCAGTTGCTCATGGCACCAATTGATGCGCCCTTGGCCCGAATAGACAGGGGGAAGATTTCCGATATAAGGGTCCATGACACCGGACCCCAGGTCGCACCGAAGCCGGCAATATACACCCAGATCAGGGCTTACATTTTGTTAGCTCACAAAGACGACACCACATTCGAGGGAGGGCTGCAGAAGATGAGAAGAGACTCACCTACCGCTGTCCAGCCAGCAGCCACGTGGTCTGGCCAGTCGTGTCTAAATTTGGCAACTATGATGCCCACAATGACCATGCTGATGCCCATGACGACCGAGCCAACCAGCAACATTGGCTTTCGGCCGACCCGGTCGATCATTAGCTGTTTCTTGTTAGTGACTCTCTTTCGCAGATACTATTCACTGCTCTTACCATTGCGGGGACCGTGCTTATTAAAAACACTACGCCTGTCACACCCGTCGCCAGGAGTGCGACGGTGCCTCCTGTAAGCCCCAGACTCTGGAATATGTTGGTGGCATAATAAATAACTGCAACAAGTTAGTTTAAAGTGTCAAATAAGAGAATAAGGCTACTTTCTAGAGTCGATTCCACTCCACTGCTGCCAAAACATTGTTAAAAAACCTGTAATTATTCGTTTAATATTATCCTTGGTTCGAAAACAGTTGATATACTGGGCGATTTGCTCGCGGAAAGCACTCTTGCTCCCCTCCTCAGCCATGCGAGGGAAATCTCTGGCAAAAGCCTTCTTCTCAAATACGGACTCGGCTTTAATTTCAAGAAATTCGACGCGAATAAGCTCGTGGTCAGCAGGGAGCTTTCGCATCCAGGCCAGGGTGGATTTGGCTTCGCCGTCGCGGCCCACCCCGACGAGCCACCGAGGAGAGAAAGGCATGAACCAGATGCCAGCTGCCAGAGCCACGGCAGGGATGCCTTGAACAATGGAGGGTAGTCTCCACGCCAGGTTGGACTGGGAATCGCCAGTTCCGCCAATGTAGTTGCTTCCATAGCCAACCCAAAAAGACAACATGATTCCGAGGATGGTTGCAAATTGATAAAACGACACCAGCAGCCCTCTCATTTCCGGAGCTGACAACTCGGCATTGTACAATGGTCCAACACCGCTAAACAGCCCTACGCCGACACCTGTAAAGAATCTCCCGGCATATAGCAGGGATGGCAGGCCGTCACGAGCACCGATATACAAGTAGCTCCCCAGAATGACCCAGCAACAAGCAATAAACATGGTGTACTTTCGGGAAATGAGTTCTCCAAGTACACCTGCGGACAAAGAGCCCACGATACCGCCAAGCTGCAGAACTGAAGTGAGCCAGCCCGTTGCAAAGGACGATCCAACCACGGATGGGAAGTTTTTCATAAAGCGCGTCATGACAAGGGATTGGCCAAGAACACCTTGTTGGTAGCCATATTCAAAACCGCCCAATCTGCAGACACAAAGGTTAGTTTCAACGTGGCGACTCGGACGCCAAGAGACGGGAGGGCATACGAGGCAAAAAAGGCAATAAAAACGACCTTGGGATTGGATCGGATAGACTCCCACAACGACTTCTTTCCCGCCAGAACCCTTTGCGCCGGTTCCAGGGGAACACTTGTCGTGGCAGCCTCAGTATCCGAGGGTATATTGGACATGATTGCAGATTCGAGGCCAAACGGCAAAGGGGTGGGGAAGAAACAAATCTTGACCAACTCTTCTCCTACTCAAGATGAATATTGAGGAGCGTTCTCCCCCATCTTTATGTACTGGACGAAAATTCATGCATGTTGCTGCCCCGGAAACTCACCCCGTATTCCCCCCGGTCTTTGAGTCAGTCACCCCATGGGTCACCGCAGTCCGCGATGCTGCTGCAGCGCAACCTGCAACGGTCCCTGCCGCGGTTCTTGGATGGGATATTAAAAAGATGCGTAGGCTACGCTCCCCGTTTCGGGAAATGCCAACACAGAAGCGGATACTCAACGGCCGCGTCAATTGGTCCTCGGCTGGGGCAAAGGGGAGGGCCAAGTTGCCCTTTTCAGGCGCCGACAGGAAGGCATAGTTTTGAGGTTTTTGTTACGCGAAGATGCGATGGGTTCAGGCAGGTTCTGTCATTGCAGCTGACTTTCACGGACTTGGGTCTTGGCCCATCAGGGGTATGATGCGGAAGTCGACACGAAGCTGATGGAGGATGGTTGATGATGCTAGAGGTTTGTGGAGGTGGTGATCGCAGGGCCGGGGGCAGCCGAAGGTTGCTTTGTGTTGGTCCAGACCGGGGCCTACTGGCGTACATGCAGGAATACTGATACTGATACGATATTGAAGAGTTCAA